ATACAAAGTTTTGACTTTGTGTGGTGGGCGGGGGCAGGGGTGGTGGTGGAGATCAGCATCCCTAACACTCTGGTGTTGTTCAAGAGTTAACACTACATCCTTCTCCCCGTGCTCTCACAACAGTTGGGTACTATTTCTCTGACGACCTTCACCCATGTGTGTTGGAATTTATTTGTTGAAGCACAACGAGCCCTCATCTGTGACTGTGACTTCCTAAGGGCAGAAATTGCTTCTTCTTGTTTTCCTGGCACCTTACAACCTGGCTCATGACACGCTCTCAACAAATATGTGTCGAATAAACCAAATTATCGTTTTGGTCTTGATGACATCGCATTTCTGATACCTGTTTAGAAATGCTGTTATAAAAAACCTCTAGCGCACACAACGGTCAAACCGTACAAGGAGTGTAGGTAAAACAGACTTAGGTGAGTGTCCCTGATATGGATAGTGGGGTATAGATCAAGTAACATCAAAAGCCAGCTTCCTAAGAGTGAGGGCCATGAGAAACAACGTCCCCGCAACTAAAAGTTCTTCCGTTCCTTCCATCCATGGCTCCTTCCGCATCAAACTTTCATGCATTGGCTGCTTCTACCTGCTCATTTTTTTCCTGATAAAGAGTATGAGTCACTCCTATAAAATTTCAACTTAAACAATTTTACATGAATTCTTTTTTTTTTTTTTAATTTTTTTTTTTCAACGTTTATTTATTTTTGGGACAGAGAGAGACAGAGCATGAACGGGGGAGGGGCAGAGAGAGAGGGAGACACAGAATCGGAAACAGGCTCCAGGCTCTGAGCCATCAGCCCAGAGCCTGACGCGGGGCTCGAACTCACGGACTGCGAGATCGTGACCTGGCTGAAGCCGGACGCTTAACCGACTGCGCCACCCAGGCGCCCCTACATGAATTCTTTAAAGTCCCTTGAGATTAGTTTTCCAGACGAAACACTGCAAATTTCCTAATGAATGGCAGTCTGAACCAGGTTTTTGGTCTAGGGATTGGATTGTGCATTCCTCCAATGCAGTTTTCCTTTAAAGCAGCTCAAAGCAAGGAGGGTAGTTTCAAGTCTTCGATGCCTAAACTTACCTCACTACATCCTCTCAACCTGTTATCCTCTCTGTGTCCTTCTAAAACTGTTTTCAGTAACATTGGCTACAAAGAATCCTGGGTAGGTGGGATTAATAATCCCATTTTTCTCTCGCTGGCTGTGCCGTGTAGTACATGTTTCTTTCAGTTTCCAACTACAGCAATTTGGCAAAAATTCAAACGGATGGAATAAGCCTAGAGTCTAATGGTCTCAGATGTCAGGGAAAAAGTTTTTATATGTGTTACAAATATATTAAGAAAGATTACTTATAATGAATTGTTTCTCTAAGACTTGTATAAACATCCCTTCCTTTGCAGACATGATTATTAAGGAGCTGCGTGGAGGATATACACTTGGGGGGGATTTTTCAAGCTATACATTCCCCCTCCTCAAACATTCTGATTCTAACCCTTCTTGTTCTCTCCTAGGAATCAATGCTATAGTGACCCATTAACTGGTGTGTGTGTGTGTGCACGCGCGCGCGCCTAAGAGAGCTCTACTCCCAGTGTGGGGCTTGAACTCATCACCTTGAGATTGAGAGTCACATCCTCCACTGATTTAGCCAGCCAGGCGCCCCAAGATGTGTCATATCCTTTTGTGTGTTACGAGTGATTGTTTCAGACTTATCAGTGAATAAAATGTTTTCAATTAGAATTCTATAAAAATATAAGACACTTTGCTTAAATTACATTATTTATTTTTAGATTATCCCTCTTAGTCCTGCATGCATCATCAGCACAAAAAGTTGAACTTGATCACAACCTCCTTTTGAAGAGATAGTAGGTACACGATCACCATCTGAAGACTTTTTCTTCATAGGTGGCCCAAGATTCCAGGCCATGGTAACACTGTCAGTAACCTACACAATGTTTGATAGAAAAATTTACCAAATATCCTTTGTTTAATGTAAACAAGGCAGGAGGCCAAACAGAGCATTACAGTAACACTATTTTTACAGGGCCCAGAAATATGATTATCTATCATGTTTTAACACATCGAGTGTCTCAATGACATGCATATTTTGATTAATTGTAAAACCCAAAATATAACTACCATATAACTTGTTGTTTTTTCACTTCACTGCAACTTGTCAATGCCTGTGAACTTCATAATTAAATGGTAGTTATATATTAATGCAATAATTTATGGAAATATGTCACCCTGAATTACAAAGTAATTCCATAATTTGTGCCCTGTAAAATGAAGTGTAACAATCTTTACACTAGCAACAGTGTAAGCAAGCTAAGGATTTTGGTCCTTTTATATATATATATATATATATATATATATATATATACACACATATATATATACACACACACACATATATATATATGTACACATGTACACACACATAATGTACAATTAAACCAAAGAGCTATGAACCCTCTCACAGCTTCCATATTGCACAGATACATTATGAAAACGTTACAGAGTTATAATGGGAGTACTACGGTGATAACTGCCTAAGGACAAATCTGAGTTCTATCAAGTAAAGAACGTGGCTCATTACTAAAAATGAAATCAAAGACTCTCCTGTTAGAAGGTTAAAAGAAAACGTGCACACCCATTTCTATTGATATGAAGCAAGGCTAATGTTCGGCTTGGAACCTGCTACGGCGATCGGCTGTGAAGGTGGTACTTTCCACCCAGCACAGTGCATTTGAGTCACTGGTTTGCAAGCACTGAGTAACAGAGATATTTGGCTTCCACAAGACAGTACGAAAAAGACTAGGAACGTAGCACATTGTTTCACTGACAAATCCAGCTCCCTGGGAGAACTGGCTGGCTCGAGGTCTGTCTGAACTAAATACCAAGAAGAAAGAAGGAAAAGAAACTTAGGAGAGAGACAACTTACACCTTAAGCTTTAGCTGACTACAGATCAAAATCATTACAATAACTTAGGAAACCAATTATGTTTTAAGAAGCAACACACACACACGAGTTAAAGCTTTTCTGGGCTTGGTGTCATATATTCGCTATAAGGTCCCATTGTGAAATCAAGAATAAAGTAGTATTTGGCTTTAGAGGTAATAGCATCGCTATTACATCCACTGAACACTATGAAAACATCAAGAAATATCTAGTATCTCTTCATGCCTTATTTTCAATAAACCTACATCAAAGTAGACTACAACTATGTCTAAAAACAGAGATACTGCAGTGTTCCTTCGTGTGGGCTGATCAATAAACACAAGGAACTGAACAACGCTTTCCCATCATTAAAAAATCATTTGAAGAAAATCATGCACAAAGTGACTATCTCCCACTTTTGCTTTTCCTTGTTTTGCTTAATAAATGTGCTTAGACTGAGCTAACAAAGATCTGCATTAAATTAGAAATGTCGTCGTCTCGGTTTAACAGGGGTAAGCATTCTAGAGCCAAGAATATTCGTAATCTTTTGATATTCTGCTCTTTAATAAATAGCCAAAACTAACTAGAAAATAAATCAGAAACACAAATACAACAAAATTAGCAGTAGGGGTAAAACATGCTTGGATGCACATGCCACGTGATGTTGTGTATGCAAACGTGCTCCATAAAACAACTTGTTACAAGGAGCAGGGATGGCTCCTTCCAGGCTGGGAAGCCTGACAGTCCACTCCCTCAAAGTATCAGTAAATAGAAAGATAAAGAGCAAAGTGCTGCTGCTTAACATTTCAGGAAGAGGAGGAGGAGAGCAAGAAGAGGAAATTAAAAGCCGTATTTGAGTGATAAGCATCACTTAAAAGAACAGAAAGCAGATTAGCAAACACCATTTTGTAAATCAAGTATACGCATGCTGTGCACAGCGCAGCCTTACTGAACTGGTCCTTCATATATACCCAATTTACCCAAATTCTTTAACATGTAAACAGGACACGCTGGTTTTCTTTTGAAATCTCTTTAGGATCATTTAAAGCGAAAGACTGAACAAAATGAAAAAATAAATGTAAACACTGAGGAGGCCACTGGCATTTTGATTGCTGCCTAAGAGTTATCAGTCAGTTCCCACCTATGTAGTTCAATAAGAAATCAAATTACAAAGCAATTTTATAAAGCAACTTTCAGAGAGGGATAGATAGAAGGAAAAAAAAAAGTTCTCAACCCCATGTATGTTAACTAGCCTAAAAAATACTATTTTAGCAAACATTACCAATGGTGAGCACAAATTCAACATTGTTGCAAAAATGACACGGTTTGAATACACTGGGACCCATACGTGAAAATCAATCGCTAACATGGCTATGTGCACAAAAGAGTAAAAGAACGTTTCTTTAAAAAATATATATATTATATTAATCAAGAATTTCTTCATCATATTAAATTGTTATTCTTAGAAAAGCTGAGGAAAGTTAATGGTGCTCTACACATTTTTATCTCCTAATATTAACTCAACTCACTCGATGGTTCCTGAATTGTATTTTTTCTCATCTACAGTTTTTTTATTTTTCATATTTTGTTTGATAAGAATTCTGACCTTAAAAAGTTATAAAATCAGTTTTGTTTTGTTTTGTTGCTACTTATTAATCCAAAAGAATAGAAGCATTTGAGTCCCAGAGTCAAAATGCCTTGCTACCTAAAAGGATATTAAAATAACAGAAATATCTTCAAAGTCGTGACATCAGAAATTTTGCAGCTTTTCACACAGGCATTAGAGATGCTTATTTCCTGAAGTTCCTTTGATTGTATCCTGGATTCAAGGATGTGCCATCTTATATAGAGAACCATCACGGTAACGCCAATGAAAACAACATTATACAACACTTTCCTAAGAATGTCCACTTCATGTGTTCTTAGAGGTTCTGTCCAACTTATAGCAGTGCTTCATTTAAAAAGGCTTTTTTATCCTCTCGGCTGGGTGCAGCTGAGTCTTTTTTTTTGATGAAACGTGTACTGCAGTTCTGCTCCCTCTGTTCTTTGGAGGATGCTATTTACGGGGTGGAGGAAGCGTGGTATTTCACAAATGCGATGGCCGCCAGCTCCTTACAGAACTCCTCTAGCACGATCACACCCTCCAGCAATGTGATGTGGTCAATACTGGGGAAAGGAAAGCAAGCCAAGCAGTCAAATCGTATCGGCAGATGATGAAGTTTTGGTGAAATTTTTAGATAAAAACATGTAAAACACTGGCTTACATAGGGCCTTCAGGTTCCAAACCAAGCAATCGCTTTCTGACTAACAGAAGCTTGGGAGTAAAGTCTTGAATACGCTGGATTCTAACCATGAGGTCTCCAACAACCTGCATCAGAGACAAAATGAACTGGGTTCTTGAGGTCAACTACCTAGGGTTTTTCAGGATTAAAAAACTGCCTATTACTTGATTTCCTATTACTAAATAAAAAACGTCACCTCTCACTATTCACATAACCGTCTTTGGCAAAGGAGTCCTATCTGTTCCCTAAAATATAAAAGTTACATATGGGGCCCCTGGGTGGCTCAGTCGGTTGAGCATCCGACTCTTGATTTTGGCTCAGGTCATGATCTCTCAGTTCGTGAGACTGAGCCCTACGTCGTCGGGCTCTGCACTGAGAGCACAGAGTCCACTAGGGATTCTCCCATTCTCTCTCTCTCTGCCCCTCCCTGGCTCATGCTCTCTCTCTCTCTCTCAAAATAAACAAACTTTAAAAAAAAAAATTAAAAATTTAAAAAAAGTTACATGTATTATTGAAAAGAATAAACTGTCTTTTTTCCTCCACACACCATCGTACAACAATGACTTCTAGACGGCAGATGTAAAATCTTTTCCATCATGTGACACTAATGACATACAATGATAAGTAATGTTAATGGACATGTTGACCACGTGTATTAATCATCCAGATGTTAAGTGGACAGGTCTGCCAATCCTAGAGAATATAACAAAACTAAGAACTCACCCTGACGATTACGGAGAAGAGGGATCTACAGCCAGAAGCAAGGTTTACATAAGGATCCAAAAGGTACTCGTGTATGTGTGGATGAGGGAAGAGAGAAAGTCTAGATAACACGGAAGTGACTTGTAAATTTACATCATATGGCTGTGGAGAGGTAAAAAAAAACAAAGACATTTGACATTGTTTATACATGTATATATACCTGAGCACTTCATTCACCATTTCAATTGGTCTTTTCAAGAAAGGAAAATATCCCATCTTATTCCTCCCTCCAATGAAAACAGTCATTAAGATCTTTTAAAATACGGTAGGCTCATTTTAGAAGCGACACTCTTCATCTTTTAGATTACTCAACTACCACCAATGATCAAGAGCCTGTACACAATAAAATAAAGCCATATGCATCACCAGCCCAGAACCTTCTGGGCAGAAGGGAAGTATTTGGGGACAGAAATGACCACCAGAAGCCTCACAGCGAATGAGAAGGTTCAAAACGGTGATTACAGACAAGGACCGTCTCCTTTATCACAAGAGCATTAACTCTCCCCAAATAATTATACATCTGTGTACAGTTCCTCATCCATTTTTTATATGTAGTATCACAATTTTACTTGAATTCGATTTTTTAAAATTTTTAATCTGTTTCCTCCTCATAGAAAATGGCTTGGAGGTGCTTTACAAAGTGCATCAAAATCAAAGAAAAGGGCACACTGTACAAAAACGGTTGCTGTTACCGTCTCTAGAACTTTCAACAGAAGTCTTGCTCCTTCCAATTTCCTTCTAGGCAGCCAAAGGAAACTGAGTGGCTGAGACAAAACTGGCTTCCGTGGGAGGGCTGGGGGCGAGCGAGGGACACACGCCAAGCCCGGGGAAAGGAAAAGGGATTCAGGATGAGTGAATGTTAACCATGGACTCTGCCTGTTTCGCTCCCATTCACTGAGCGGACGCTAAGCGCCTGACACAATGAACACCAACTAAGAAGGGAACATCCGGCATTCGGAGGACAACAAATGTGAGGGCATAGTGCCAGAAGACAGCAAAGGTGCCTTCACGTGAAAAAAGACCTCAAGTCCTGTGTTGTGAGTCCAACTGTACCATTTTTGTTTTTAAACACGAGATTCACGAACATGGATTTTTCTGGAAGGGCAGAAAACTATCCCTAAGTCTCTCTTATTCACAGTTGGGCCTCAAGCAAGATAAATGAAGGGAGATACAATTCCTACGGAAGGGGAGTTTGGAAAGCATATTCTCCGACTTGATAATATCTGCAACAGAACAGCCTCCAGGACTCAATTCATAAGGAACAATGAACTCCCATTAAATTGTGTTTGAGGCACAAAAGAAACATTTTTGCAAATCCTTAGAAGAATGCATTTGTAAAGCATGTGAACAAACTCCCTTAAAATACAACTTAAGTACAGTTTGGGATGTGACTTGTTTCAGGTAGTTCAGGTTTTTAGGTCACAAGTTCTTCCATTTATAGGAGCTTAAATAAATAAGTCAAAATTTGGCTTTCGGCAAGGATAGAAATTGCCACTTAAACTTTGTATTTTCTTCATAAGGTGTTACTTTGGTTTTTAGCTTTGTCTGAACAAGAACCTATGTCCTACGTTGTTTAAGATGTTTAAGGCTGACTGAGATTATATTTTAACGTGAAAATGAAAACAAATCTCAGCTACATAGAAACTTACCTCTGAAATGGTCTCTACTTCACAATGGTAATAACTTTAAAACAAGTTGGCCTTTTTTCTTTAATACGAGTATCCCTTTTTTGGGTTAGTAGAAGTGTTTATACCTATTTTGGACCTCTTTTCTACTTTGTACAGCATTCACCTGAAATGAAAGCTGGCCAGATTTTTCTGACAGGTCAAATGGGCTTGGTGCATCTTTGCGCTCACGTTACATACAAAGCTGGAATTTTAGGACAATACACTTTGGACTTAAAAGCATACTGATGACAAAAAAAGAAAAAAGAAAGAAAGGTGGCATATTGAGGTTACCAGCAAACTCAGTCTCAACCCTTCTACTAAAAGGATAAACTGGGGCGCCTAGGTGGGTCAGTCGGTTAAGCATCCAATTCCTGATATTGGCTGAGGTCGGGAGATCAAGCCCCAAGTTGGGCCGTACGTGGGGCTCTGCGTGGAGTGTGGAGTCTGCTTGGCATTCTCTCTCTCCCTCTCTCTCTCTGCCCCACCTCTGCTCACACTCTCTCCTTCAAAATAAATAAATAAACTTTTAAAAATTAAAATTAAATAATTTTAAATAAAATTAAAAAAATAAAAGGCTAAATTTACCGACAACCAAAACAATACTGTTTAGTCAAGTTTAAAGTTTTCTTATTTAAATTTTTACTTCTCTTTATTTTTAAAGTTTATTTATTTTGAGAGAGCGAGCATGAAGGAGCGGGCATGAGAGGGGCAGTGGCACAGAGAGAGGGAGAGAGAATTGCAAGCAGGTTCTTTCCTGAGCCTGAGGTTGGGTCCAGTCTTTAGAACCGTGAGATCATGATCTGAGCTGAAATCAAGGGTCGGACACTCAGCCGACTGAGCCACCCAGGCAGCCTCTATCTCAGTAATTTAATAGCTTCTGAAACTTCTAAAAACTCGTGTATTTAACAAGGCTTTGTATTTTTTAAAGTATTAAACTGTTTTTTTCATTCAGTTTTTACAAGCAAATCGAAGTCGGAGGTGATGGCAAATAACACCAGCTTCGCCTTAGAAGAAGGAAATGTGACACGTGGCTCAGTTACCCAAGACGAAACCCTTCCCTGTCAGGGCAGAGAGAAGCTGAGCCTCCCTACATTCGGGTGTTCTTTATGTTCCGCTCATGGACCTCGGCATTTTGCTATCTTTATAAAATCATCACAAACGATACTAAATGTGTTATAGAGTACTTTTTAAAAATTAACATTGTGACAACACAATAGTACCAACAATACTTGAGTGTAATTGAACATGCAGAAACTAGCTACTTTACGAATTAGCTGCAGTCAATGTTTAATCCCAGACTGATGAGCCCCGCCCTAGCAGAGATGTACACTAAGAAAATTACAAGCAAACATCACCCTCAGTGAAAACACATTCAAAAAACAAAGAAAATTAAACGAAACCAAGCACGCTTGGCACTCCGGGGCTCATGATTATCTCTGAGATCTGACTGCATCATGTTCTTACCAAAAAAGGCTTGGAAAAACCACGCGTTTAAAGACAAAAGGCTTGAGGCTGTGCCCTGCAGCGTACGAGCTTAAGTCACAGGAACTGAAACTAGGGATTCCTCCCTGACAAAATTCGAGCAGAAGTCTGTCCTGCCTATCATTCAGGGTTCCGGAAGAATGGTGGAGACAGGGTGGATGAACCGGTTCTGCACCGTGATGTGCGACCCACTGAAATAAGAAAAACTCTGCAGTATTTCAGGATATTTTGTCTCCAAATACCCTTTTATATCGGCACTCTGCAAACTAAAGGGAAAAATACCCAAGATCCAGAGAAAGCCTAGCAAACCAGCTCAAACACCACAACGAACTGATAAACCCTGCTTGCTACCCAGGAGGCTTACGCAGCCATCATGCAAACAGCACACCCACCAGATCTGGACTGAACAACCGACCCACCAAACCCGAGAAATACAGCACTTGCTATTAAGAGGTTAAAAGAAAAAAGGACTTACTCTATCTCTTAACTGATTACTACCAGAAACAGTCCTGTCTGAAGTGGAACCCAGTGAAATACTTCTTAAATTATAATTTCTTTATTTGGCTTTCTGGTTACTGAGGACAGCCTGCCTATGGAGTAAATTTCTTTTATTAACTCCCTCTGCTCACATAAATATTTAACTAAAATGCTGAAAAAGAACAACTACTTTAATATACAATTTTAAATTAGTTCCAAATTGGTGAAGTCAATTTCTGTGTTAAGGCAAGTACCATGCCAGGTGGTTTTATTTCAAGCGTACATCCCAGAGTGTAAGGCATTTCAAAGCTGCATCCTCACTTTGTTCATTTTTCAAGGAGGGAGGGAGGGAGGGAGGGAGGAACGGAGGGAGGGAGGGAGGGAGGGAGGGAGGGAGGGAGGGAGGGAGGGAGGGGTTCCGTAATCCCAAATTCATTTCTCCTGGCCGTCAGCGAGACAGAGCAACAGACCAGAGGATGCTAGTTTTTTATCTACCTTGGAATAAGTAAATTTACCTTTTTTATTTCACCTCCCCCTTCTGAAAATGAGTCTTATTCCTAAATCCTTTGTCTGAAGAAGCGGTTTCATCTAATATTGTTCCGTAATTTTAATGAGACCAGAGTGCTGGAGATTCAATTTGAAATGACATTTAATGTCTTCTGAATTGAAGGTTGACTCAATCTGTATCTGTACTAACTATACTAAAAGGCTTTCTAAGTTCATCGTAAAAGGAAAGCACTCTAATCACCTCCAAAATGTGTTAAGGATATTAAGACAACAGCCTATAATGAGAAGGGAAATATAGAATTTGACAACAGCCGTCAGGCCAAATGAAGGCTTTGAACATAACAAATGCATCAGAAACGCACTGGTTGTTGCCAGCTGAGCTTCACGAAAACAGAACTACCTTATTAAAGATCTAAACTAAGACTAGAGATGAATCCACGGTGAATAGTAACAAAACAATATGACAATATTTTAAAGCTTATTACCTGATCGAGAATTCTTCCCATTCTGTCAAATAAAACTTTCAAAAAATGACCTTCAAAGAAAGTAGCTTCTAAATTGCACTTTTCCAATGCTTTTGGAGACCCAGGCCACTCCCATCTTAAGCAGATAGCACAGTAGTCCCGGAACTAGGGAAAAGCATTTGCATCATTAAAGAACAAACCGAAACAAATGGAGATTAAATAGAAAGTATCTCCTCACAGAGGCATGTAAATATCCACCTGCGTGCCCAGCGTTCCCTGTGAGGCGCCCGTGAGAGAGGGAGGGAGAGATGACTTGGGTAACAACACCGTCACTAGAAGCACAAGTAAGACTATAACACCTGTACCAACATATGCTGATGAATAAATAGCATGTGTTTTCCTTTAGAGGAACGTAACTCTTTACTTATTTTTAATCACAGATTTAGAGAATATTTAAAAAGCAAAGTAAGTCCTAGCCACATTTTCAAATTGATTTGGAAACGTTGCACGCAAACGGCTGAACAGATGTACGTTATCGGAGAAGGCAGGCTTGGCTTTCCCATGGCGCACCTACAGGGGGCGCGCTGTCACAGGACACATCAGTGCTGCGTGGAGCGTGCTCCGCAAATGGTTTGCTACCCTCGCAGTGAAAAGGAGCTCAAAACCCAGAGTAAGCATTTAGACACCTTTATTGGGGGCGCCTGGGTGGCTCAGTCGGTTATGCATCTGACTTCAGCTAAGGTCATTATCTCCCAGCTCGTGGGTTAGAGCCCGGCGTCGGGCGGACAGCTCAGAGCCTGGAACCTGCTTCTGATTCTGTGTCTCCTTCTCTCTCTGCCCCTCCCCCCTCACGTTCTGTGTCTGTCTCTCTCTCAAAAATAAATAAACATTAAGAAAAATTAAAAAAAAAACAAAAACCTTTATTGCATTTAACTAACTGTTATGTCTGTTGAACATAAGATAATCAGGGCTGGTAGTTTATGTTTTTTTCTTTTCACCTTTTTACCAAAGTGTTGGTAAATAGGCTGGAAATAATAAGGAACTGGCCCTTCACTCCTCAGTTTACCACTGGGATAAACAACATGGATTTTCATAAGCATAAGATCTCACATAATAAAAATAAATTTGAAAAGTCTTCCCCAATATACAATTTACTTAAGTTTAAACAAAAAACATTTAAAGCATAGTTTTCTTCCCCATTCTTTCACTTTTCAGATTCTCCTTATTCAATAAAGCGACATTACTTTGACCTCTCTAGTTTGGAAATTACCTGAATTTGAAACAAAACATGTCCTCACCATGAAGCACTAACTTTGATTTTTAAAAGAAAAACATATTCAAAACCACCAAAAAGCCAGCTTCTTCAGTGTATTGTGAGTTTTAACTGATTTGGCTTTCAACAGACCATTTTCTATCCTTAACCACTCACCAATATTTAATTAAGCATTTTTCCATTAACATATCTGCAATTCTGACCTAGACAGCAATAGTTTAAAAATTGTTTATCTCTCTTGTCTGTTTTCTAGCACTTCTGAAATAATCCTAATAAGTGCATTTGTAGAAAATGGAAATGAAACTTCACAGAAAGAATAAAAGCAGTTTAAACTTCCAGGGGATACTACTGAGATTGGGACCACTATTGTATTGCCTTCACTTTCTCGTTCATGAAAGTGCTAGCTTGATGTGAAATATTGGGGTTCAGGAGCAAACAGTCAAGAAGAATTCTTGAGACATCTTTGGCACAAAGAGGTGGTTTTATTAACGCATGGGGACAGGACCTGTGGGCAGAAAGGCTGCACTGGGGTTGTGAGGAGTGACTGATTCTATACTTTCAAGTTGGGAGGGGGTCAGGGACAGCGTTAAGTCTCTAAGGAATTTGGAAGCAAGGTTTCCAGGACCTTGAGGGGGCTAGCTGTTGTTAGGAAAAGGTCATTTACTACTGTCTAAGAGTAAAAGTTTAGTCATGAGACCCTTCAGATATATATTAGCGGGTCATATGTTTGGAGGATGATTGCTAACATATATTCTTGGGGGGCAGAGATAAAGGAAGTTTCTACAAGGATTTTTATAGAAGACTTACAGGATCCTGGAGGTTGGGATGATGTTAAGCTGAGACCGCCTTTTGCCCCTAGCAAAGGGTCAACATCGAGGCAGCTGGGTTCCTAGAGGAAGGTCACTCTGCCTGTCTCAAGGACTTGCCGATGGGCTAGTAAGGGAGTTTACTTTTTTTTCTGTATTTCTTTTGCCTTTGTTCTCCACATCACTAGCTACAGAATTACTCTAGTTACTCAAGCAGTAATGTGGACTTGCATTCAGGCTTAAAGTACTGTGAATTAACTATAGGTGCATGCAAATTAATTATACATAACAGCACACTTCAATCTCAAGGATTTAAATGAAAATTAAATGTGCATTGTTCTGACTTGAGACTTCTCAAAACCGGGAATTCTGTGAAATGCTAGAGAGGGAAGAAGACTGACAGAAGGCTGTTTAGTTCACTTCTTCACAGATGACCTCTGAGAGAGTCCTTCCAGACAGGCAGAGAAATCCTGCGCAGGGGCAGGGCATGAGGGGGCGGGCACTTGTAAATAAATAACGGTGTGGGTGAGAACAGAGGTGGAGAGGGGGTCAGGGCAGTGCCTGTGGAATGAGAGCAAGGGTGGGTGGTAGATACAAACATTTAAAAGTTATGTTTTGGATCAGCAGGGAAGAGGATTGGGGGGAGATACAATTTGAAGTATAGAAAGAAAGAAAAGAAAAGGAAGGAGGGGTGAGAGATAGAGGGGAAGGGGAAAGTGGGGGGGGAGAAAAAGACACAGGAGAAGGGGAAAGTTGGGGGAGGAAGACATAGGGGAAGGGGAAAGGGGGAAGAGAAAGAGAAGGGTGGGGACGGCGGGGGGGAGAGAAAGAGAAGGGTGGGGACGGGGGGGGGAGAGAAAGAGAAGGGTGGGGACGGGGGGGGAGAGAAAGAGAAGGGTGGGGACAGAGGGGGAGGGAGACACAGGAAAGGGAAAAAGGGGGAAAGGCAGAGGGATGGGGGGAGGAAGGAAGCAAACATAAAGAAAGAAATCTTGGGACAGAGACACAGTGAGTAAAAGGCATAGTAAGGTCACCTGCCGGAAGTTAACGTCGCAGAGGGAGTTCAGGTCTTGCAGAGAAAGGGAAACCTCTGGAGAAATGACCGTGGGTAACAGGACAAGGTGTGTATGTACACTCTTACTAGATTTCATGTCCAAAAATAACTACCTCACTTACCTGCCTATGAGCATCTCGGAGGTAGGTGTCATATCCAGTGCCCTCGACATGGTAGGATGATTTTGCTTCATCAGGTACCAGACAGAGAAAACTTCAACGAAAAAAGCCACAAGCAGTAACACAAATACTCTGACAATTCAGTATCTTTATGTCTTAAACTATCGAGTGATATCTTCAGTTTAGCCAAACACTGATGCAAATGGAAACCCGAAAAACAAAATGACATAGGCATAAGTACTTAATCTTGAATCGGTTTTACTGATTACGCTTTCATTATCTCAAAGGTTTTATTTAAAAATCACTCATTTCACTTAAAGTAGAAGGAAGCCTAAGACGACAACTTCTTTCTACATTACAGCACAATGAGAGACCGCCGTTATCTGCTCATCTCAGGAAACCGGCTTCGAAGTAATTGAACCGAAGATTTTTATGCACCCTAATTTTACATCTTGAGCCACAGGCCATCTCTCTAAAGTCACCTGCCAGAACCAGGCATAGCAGTGACAGCACTGCAAAGGCAGAAAGAGAACATCGCCACAGAAAGCGCACTTAAAAAAAAAAAGGTAAAAACCACAGTATCAAAAAGGTAGAGTCCTAGGCTTAGTGTAGGTCAGTACACGTGTACTAAGTACAATCTGTCAAACCGGAAATTCCCCCTGTTGTTCCAACTGGGAATTACTTACAATGATTGTTATTAAAACAAAGTAGGGTACTCTGAAGGTTTACTAAACCACTATTGTTTTTGTCTCTATATTCAGACAGCTCTTCTCTTCTGCTATTGACTGTTGCCCCTAGGCTGTCACTTGCTACATAAACATGACAAAAAGCTGATATAATCTTTAGATAAAAGAAGGGAAAACTGAATTCACAATATATCACTAGAACAACCTAAGAACAGAGCTATCATAGGTTATAAAACCAAGCAAAAGAGATGTAAGACATTTACATGGCAACTCACCTATTTACAATTTTATGGACTTCGGTTTTCCCATCATTTTTGGGGTGGTCTGGAGTAGCAGGAGGTGAAGAACTAAGCCACTCTTGATTTGAAAGAGTGTTATCTGGTGAAATGTCAGTAAATAACGGGTCTTCTTCGAGATCTCTACGTTTAATTTAAAAAAAAAAAAGACGAAATTTTAGTACATTTTCTAAACCAGAAGATTGTCTACCATTCTCTTTTCTAATGTCTTAGAAAACATTACATAACTTTACCAGTAAAACAATTACATTTTATAGGGATATTAGTATCTTACATGCACATCAAACTCAAGAACGCGTTGATTTTGTTAGGTTTAATGAATACCACTTGTGACTTAAAGGGATGGTGCTATCATGGCATCTAAAGTTTATTTTTGAAAATCTTGTAAACGGTAAGAGGTTTTTTTTTTGTTTTTTTATGAATAAGAGAGAAGGAGGAGAGAGAAAATTGCGATTCAATATAAGATGCTGAACTTGCAGAGTTAGATGGGAACTTACACGGCTCCTGCTATCAATCCGTTTTCCACCACATCTTTATCTTCTGGACACACAGGCTTATATTCAGTATAATTTCTTTCTTCTAGGTTTCTTAGGACCAAGTTGTAAAGAATGTGCTCATTGGGTTTTTGTAAGAGATGTTCGAACATTCTTAATGTCATTATGCTTATCTGAAACCAAAGATGATAATAAAGGCTGAGAAGCATGTCTAAATACATTATTCTTCTTGCCATCCTGTGAGTCATGCTTTCAATTTTTATTTACTGGTGTATTTTTAAATCATTTTTTGAAGTTTATGTATTTATTTTGAGAGAGAGCGAGAGCACACGAGCCAGGGAAGGGCAGAGGGAGAGAGAGAGACAGAGACAGAGAGACAGAGACAGAGAGAGAGAGAAAAAGAGAGAGAGAGAGAGAGAGAGAGAGAGAGAGAATATAAAGCAGGCTCTGCACTGTTAGTGCAGAGCCTGATGCAGAGCTCGAACTCACAAACCGTGAGATCGTGACCTGAGCCAAAACCAAGATTAACCCACTGAGCCACCCAGGCGCCCCGCATGCTTTCAATTTTTAAAGCCACGTGAAGAGGCTGCGCTCAAAGCATCACAAGTACATTAAAGTCATATTTCCAAGAATGGAAGTCCAATTCTAAATCATTACATAGCATACCTCATCAGATATGTGATCACAATGTTCGATTAACCTATGTCTTAAAGGGTGTCTGCTAATTTCGGCCAGAGTTTCTGGTTCCCTCTGTTCTCCAAGGATAAAAAACACCATTTCTTGAAGCAAAACGTCAGAGGTTACTTGCCGAACAATGCGATGGAGCAGGGCAGTTGATGTCAGAATACCCATCTCAGAACTGGGCATAACAAACAGGTAATTAGTGGGCAAAAATAACATGAACACAGCAACGTTTTCTTTTTTTAAAGGAAAAGGGCCACTCACGTTTGCATCAACTGAGGTTCCATAACGCCAATAAAAAATCTTTCATGAACAGCTTTGGCAAGAGCAACAGCAGCAGTCTAGAATATAGGAGGAGCATCATTATCTTCTTTTGTTTTCATGGAAAAGAGAGATTAATCTGTAACATCGACAAGCCAGTCTGCACCCTCCATCTGAATTAATGTGGAAAAACAAACTTGCCTATTGACCATCTTGTTGATGGCACATAAACCTGGGTTAGATGTTAGCTACTTGGTCCTTTACATTTCATCTAAATTTCCAAGAACAAGACAGATAGGACAAAAATATTATCCCAATCACATTACAGTATTAACATCTCCCCAAGGAGGTGAAATGGTGAGAGGTCGATGTCACCTCATGAAGCTTTCCATTGTAATACTTAAAGACATATAAGGTCAGCGCTTGAGCTGTGATTTATTCCAGAGTTGCAACACACACACACACACACACACACACACACACACACACACACGCACATGTTTTTTGGTTTATTTGTTTGTATTTATTTTACTGTGCTATCCTAAGATAATTAAGATATGTTTGGGGATAGAAACTGAGGAAATTTGACTTAATAGACATTCACATTTAAAAATTATCAATAAATAACAAAAAAAATTCACACCTTTTGTGCTTCCTTTATGAGTTGATCACAATAATCAAACCAGGAAAGAAATGAAATTAAGGCTCGTTTTCCTGGAAATGCTGAAGCATCTTCTTTATGACTGTATGAGTCCAAGCTGTAGGACATGGGAGAGAAATGCTTAGTCCAAAGTTATCTGAAAGCATTCATCCAGTTCAGTACATATGGAAAGATGAAGGTATGTGAATGAACTTACACAGTAAGATATATTTACACAGGCAATGCCAGATGACTAAAGAAAGCCAAGGGGAAAAGAAAACCTTTTAAATCAAAAGTTGTAAATAATTTCATTCATTAAGTGGAAACAGAGAGACTAACAAGAACGCAGCTGTGGAGGAAAAAAACACACAGACAGCTCCTCATGCTTCTGCCATAAATATGACCAAGTGGCAGGAATGAAGTGTCTGAGGTTCTCAGCCGCTGGGATGGAAGAAAAGGAAGGTAAAGGAAGGTGTGCAAAAAGAAACAAGCAGCCTGCTTCTCTTCCTGCCTTGCAACCACAGTAGTAAAGTAAATCCATGGGTCTGCCCTAAGGATGTTGGCAGAATATCAGGGGGAAAAGACAAGTAGGGGGGTCTGGATAGCTCAGTTTATTGAGCGTCCCAATTCTTGATTTCGGCTTTGGTCATGGCCCCAGGGTCACAGGATGGAGGCCCACGTGGGGGTCAGCTGAGTATGGAGCCTGCTTGGGATTCTCTTGCCCTCTCCCTCTGCCCCTACCTTGCTCACACTTGTTCTCTCTCTCTCTCTCTCAAATAAATATTTTAAAAAGTGAAAAAAAAAAAGACAGGTAAAAACCAAGGAAGAGTTAAAAATACACAGAAAAATTATAACAGGTTATTATACTAAAATATTAGGCTGCTTATAGATGATGGGATTAGGGGCAATTTTCCTCATGCTGCTTTATAAACTTATAAATGTTCTGTGATAATCACATCTAACAATGAGAATCAGGGGGAGCCCCAAAAGACGGGTAAAGGGGGTAAAAAAATAAGGGAGGAGGAGACGGTCCATATACACAGGCCACCAAACATGAGACTCCCCTAGAGGCTGCAGAAAGTATTTATAACAGGATGTTCTGTCTTTCGGAGGGAAAAAAAAAATCAGATACAGTTATTGGTTTTAATGTAATTAAGGTCTTAATTGATCAGTATAATGGAAAAATAACTACGCAGCAGCTGTATTGTTCCCATACCAACTCATTCCTGATTGGTAACAAATTTAAAATGGGTCTCCGAACATAATCCCATTTAATGATCACAAGTAATGTCCCTCTTTCCAAAACTAAACGTTTATGTCACTGCAAACAGAAGTGAACTTAAAAGTGTAGGTGGAAGAAGCCACATCTAGGGGAAAACACAAGTAACGGTGCTCACCCCCAGTTAATTGCCTCCACGGTCTCGATATCTAGCGGATCCACTGACTGAGGTAGGGCCTTGTACAGCGAGGCGAGTCTGTCGGTCAGCAGTTCGCACAAGCAAGTGCTCTGTGTGAGGCACCTGGCGGCCGCAGGCTCCGGCAGACTTACTAACAACATCAAGCCCTCGCAGGCTTTCACAGCTATTCGGCCATCCTGATGGGAAGAACACACACCCCTTCAATTTTTGAATTAGATGTATGTGAAGCGAGTTGCCTGGAAAAAATTCAACTTAACTAGATTTAATGTTTTACACGAAAATAAGGATCTATATATACGTATATATATATTTTTTCTATTTCAAATGCATGTAACTATGGTTAGGATGTGGGGCGGGGGGTGGGGGGGAAGAGTAAAGGAGACTCACGGGACTTCTAGTAAGATTTAACAGGGAATTCACTAAGTTGTAATCCTGGTTGGGACGAATGACGGTGGCCTCCGGCAGTGAGGTGACGGTGAGATTATCCAGGCTCGTGGACAGGTCATCTAGCTGGTGAGGAGGCTCATCATCTAACTCTGCGTGCTCCAGCCCCGTGGCACCAGACAGTTCCTCTGGCTGACACGACTGTCCCGTGTCTGTTGACAAGGAATCCTGACCTTGACCTTTCGATGTGTCTTCTGAAATTACATCTGGTGTTCCTTTGGAAGCCAGTGATTTCAACTTATTCTGAAAGAGAATACGTGTTCTGTAAGATTCCTTTCAAAACACTTATAAAACAGAAATCACATTTTTATTGGTTTTTCTGTAATTAACATTCTATAATTCTATAGAATTACAATTCCATAATTAACATAAAGTCTAGCCAACGTAGCAACAGATAGAAGTGTTAGAACAAATGAAAATATTCGGACTTCAACAAACTGTGTTTTAAATATTTTATTTTACTTACTTATTTTAGATTTTTTTTAATGTTTATTTATAAGAGAGAGAGACAGAGGGCGAGCTGGGCGGGGGCAGAGAGAAAGGGAGACACAGAATCTGAAGCAGGCTCCAGGCTCTGAGCTGTCAGCACAGAGCCAGATGTGAGGCTCGAACCCACCAGCTGTGAGATCATGACCTGAGCCGAAGTTGGACGCCCAACTGACTACACCACCCAAGCACCCCTAAATATTTTTAAATTGCAGAGGCATCTAGAACACTTTTCACACTAACTGCAGAATGTACCATGACCACAGCAATGAACAGTATTAGTGATTACTATTTGACTACTGCTACAAACAACTCATGTTAGTGGGGTGGGGGGGAAAGAAGATTCAGGAGTTTTCAATTGCAATTAAATGTTTCCTCCTCACTGGGTTACTGAAAATACATAGCCTCCACATTGATTCTTTCAGGACTGGTTTTCTAAGATGATTTTTCTATGTTTTCCTTTGTTTCCTATGTTTACTTTAGAAAAAGGACTCAATATTCTCAGGACTTTTTTTTTTTTTTTTAACATTTATTTGTTTTGAGAGAGAGAGTGAGAGGGAGACAGAGAGAATCTCAAGCAGGCTCTGTGCTGTCAGCATGGAGCCCGACACCAGAACTCGATCCCATGGGCTGTGAGATCCTGACCTGAGCTGAAGTCAAGAGTCAGGCGCTTAACTGACTGAGCCACCCAGGTGCCCCTCTTCAGAACCTTTTTATTAGTGTTCTTGATGGAAACAGATTTACTGGACATGTCGGCCCCACCCCCCGACACACACACCCAGACACAAAGAGAATCTCAACCGAAGCTAACCATTCGTTTCGAGGCAAAGAGTATTTTGTTTTCCATTTGAACACAAGAACAAAAATCAAATCACACACACAGGTTAGACGTCATCATAAACCAGCTTCTCCACAGGCCTGATCACCATATTTCACCTAGCACAGAGGTGCATTAAATGCTGAATGAATTCAAAGTTCTATTTCCAAAGTTAGATGATAGCTATGATAAATCACTTTTATTACAGTTAAAAATATAGTTTGGACCAATCTTCTTGAGAAATCGAGCCCGTAGCACATGTTAAAAGAAAACGCTTCTGTAGAACGACAGAACAACCGTCCCGTTTCCTAGAAAACTGCGTATCACAATCTTTGTGAATGTAAAACATTCGATTCCATCTAAAATTCTACTAATATTGTTGGAAGTGGTATCTCAGATAAGAATGGCAAAGGGCAGAATACTCTTAGGACTGCATTCAGTCCTTAAACTAGCGTTTCTCAAAGTAGGACTCAAGACTGTCAGGGTCACGGTCTTCCATGGGGCTACAGAAAATCGCAGACTCCCGCGCCAGACCCAGACCTGCCGAATGGGAATATTCGGAGGAGGAGCCAACGAAGCCGCATTTTTATTTGTTTGTTTGCATTACTGAGTATGGTTGACAACGTGAGATTCGTGTCAGTGTCCAACACTGTGGTGGAATCCGCGTCTCTTAAAAGTTCCGTAGGCGATGAGGAAATGCCGCCTTCTCTTGCACTTTGGTTCTTCCCGAAACTTTCTGCTCTAGGGATCTTAATGACAGCCAAAGCACATTTATACACACAACCCTCAGATCTCCTGAACACAGACTTCTCTCCCAAATCGCAGGTTTGCGAGACCAGATACCTGCCAATTCTCTCCAACAGGACACCAGGAGGACTCGGAACCTCCAGAACCGTAATCACCATCTTTCCCCTCAACATAAGCTCCCCCAGGGCTCCGTTCTTTCTGTCAGCGACAGCCTTGCTGGTTCGGGAGTTCACACATTCGTCATCCTTTCTCTTCTTCCTGCACGAGACCCCACCGAATCTACCTCTGGCGTCTCCTCAACATATTCACTTCATTCCAACCCACTGCTTCCCGCTTACAGTCCCTGTTACTTTTCGTTGGGGTTACTCCCCCAGCTGCCGAGTTAGTTCCTCTGCTTTTCCTTCTCCACTCAAAGGAATCCACCGTACAAGATGCTGCCGCCAACTGAACTTCAGGCACAGATACCACCGTGTAATAACATCCCTGCTCCAAAATCTTCAATGGCTCCCCAGTGACTGCAGGTATGTTCACATTCCTCGTCCTGCCATTCAAAGCCTTTGACCAACTCCTTGTCTATCCCTTCAGGCCCTTCGCTTATCCCATATCCTAAGTGTACTGTTTCTTGACCACACCACACACTTCTGTACCTTCCTTCCCTTACTTGTGTTCATCTATTCTTCTCTAAACAGCTCTCAAGGCTCACATCAAAGGTAGTTTCTTCTACGAAGTCTTTCCTGACCACCGAGAGCAGATGTAATCCTTTCAGCCTATCGAGGCTTAAGGTACTTTTACTTTGTAGCCTTAGGATACTCACTTTACCTCAGATTATAGTCTGAGTATGAGCCTTACCCTTGTCACCAGACTATACGCTCCTTTAGGACAAAGACTGTTTCTAACTCATTTACCATATGCATTTAAATCATAGGAGATGTAAACTGTAGCTGATATAAATGAAAAGAGAGATTAGCCTTCAGGGGACACATGCATGAGAATTGCAAAGTACTTTTGTTATCCTCTACACTTACGAGTAATATAGCTGCATTGTTCTGAAGATTCATTCATTCAATAGTGTTATTTAAGCAGTTATTATACATTATACCGGATATTAGAGAAGCTGTGGGAACCCAAAGATTAATGAGACAGGGTCCTCGTCCTCAAGGAACTTATTGGCCAGCAGGAGAAAAGAAAATGCACTTAAATAACTCTAATGCCAGGGAGACTGTAAAAATTACATTAAAAGCTTAACAGTCTTGAGAAAATGAAGATACCTACCACTTCAGGCTGTGGAGAGGTATGTGCTATAAGACTGGCATATTACAGCAGACATGTCACTGATTCCGGGGGTTCTTTGGAGAGAGGTCTAAATATAAACATTTCTCAGGGCACCTGGGTGGCTCAGTCGGTTACGTGTCCGACTTGGCTCAGGTCATGATCTCACGGTCCGTGAGTTCGAGCCCCGCGTCGGGCTCTGTGCTGACAGCTCAGAGCCTGCAGCCTGCTTCAGATTCTGTGTCTCCCTCTCTCTGCCCCTCCCCTGCTCATACTCTGTCTCTCTCTGTCTCAAAAATAAATAAAAACATTAAAAAATTTTTATAAAAAAATATAAACATTTCTCTGAGGACAGGTAAATAAAGGGTATCTCACCATCACCTTACATATGCCCACAAATTTTCTCTGCTTCTGATCTATGGCTGTGTACTTCTGAGTAAGTTGCAGAGATTCTGATAAAAAGTCCTTTTAAAGCTTAAGCTCGGGCAAAAAATCCATGCATTTAAGTAACTAGGGTATCTAAGAAAACTTTAGTAAAAGTGCACTTTGAGAAGAAACATCTGACTTGGCCAGACTGAGATACTTGATATATTTATATCGAAAACTAAAGGACTGTAATATCATTCTAATGAATAAGTCCTTGAAATCTGAACTCATAAATGTATCCCAGCCGTTTTGAAGCACACTTTCAAAATATGAGGCGCATCACGAGAAACTGGCATTCACAATCCTCATCTTCAACCAGAAACTTAAATTCATGCAATGGTGCAGCTCGGCTGCCTGTCCGTCTTCATCAGGAGCGCAGAAGCGGATCTCGGGTGGCTAACTCCGTAAAGTGAGATAGAAAACAACCCCGCCCACAGACTGGCTCAAGCTTTTAAAGACAAAACCAAACCCTGACAACACTCACTCTGACAAGGCTGTGGAAGACAGGAACTACTCTCATACGTTGTGGACGGGACGCAAAACGATAAGCCCATGTAGTAAAACGGTGCGGCAGTTTCTTACGAAAATCGGAACACACTTGCCACACGATCCCGCAAACCTACTCTCAGGTAGTGACCCAAGTGTGTGAAAACCTAAATCCACGCACCAAAAAAACTGGGTGTGAATGTTCAGACGGGCTTTATTCATAACTGCCCCACACGGGAAACAACCCCAAGTCCCTCAACTGGTTGAATGCATGAACAACGGTGACGCATCCATACGATGGAATACTACTCAACAATATCAAGGACCAAACTCGTCCACAAACCTCCAATGCATTCTGCCAAGGAAAAACAGCCAGACCCCAAAGGCTGATTACATTTCTGTGACTTTCTGTAAAAGAGGAAACCTGGGACGGAGACACATCAGTGATTGCCGGGGACAGGGGTGGAGACAGGATGGCTACAAGGGACGTGCCAGAGGGCGGCGCGACTGTTGTGTAGCTCGGCTGTGGTGGTGGCCACGTGACTGTGTGTCAAACTCAGAGAACTGTAGACCCAAAGAGGGGAAACTGCACTGTATGTAACTTATACCTAATCTAGGGGAAAAAAAAGAAAAGAGAGAAAAAGATTTTTTAAAAAACTAAAAAATCAAAACTGTTTTTTCTACCATATTCCTAATAATTTCACTGCTGAAAACAAAAGAAAAAAGTTAATGAAAGAAGAAAGTACACAAAAATTGTCTGATTTAGGGGCGCCTGGATGACTCAGTCGGTTAAGCATCTGACTCTTAACTTCAGCTCCCATCATGCTATTACAGTTTGTGGGTTCAAGCCCTGCATTGGGCTCCGTGCTGACAGCGTGGAGCCTGCTTGGAATTCTCTCTCTCTCTCTCTCTCTCTCTCTCTCTCTCTCTCGCTCTGCCCCACCCCTGCTCATGTGCACACGCGTGCTCGTTCTCTTTCTCTCTCTCAAAATAAACTTAAATAAAATCATCTAATTTAAAACTAGAAGTAAAACCCAAAATATCAGTTGATGTAATAAGTAAAGTATGATCCAATGACTATGGCTAAGAAAAGACAGTACAGAACATGAAAGCAATCCCAACTGTGATCCCAGGCTGGAGAGGTAACTCGTGACTTTGCACATCTGTCCAAATCTGCACACACCATCCCTGCCCCAGTCCGGGTCACCCATGCTCCACACTAGAGCTTGCCTGGCTGAAAACATGATAGCTTATAAACTTCTGTGACTTCTCTCTCCCTGATTTCCCCCTTCAAGCTGCATTCCTGCTAAGCCTTGATTCTATGTGTCGAGACCCTGTGCTGCCCTATATATCTGGCTCAACTATTTTCTCTGAAAATTGTTTTCCTCAAAAGATTCAAGTTAAAACAGTGATCTTAAGTGAAAAATAATTCTAGGAGGTAAAACAAGCCATATGATACCCACAAATGTAATTCCTTCTAATATTACTCACAGAATTCAATTCTCAAAATAATTTTAATGTAAGCATGCTTTGAAGGTTGACAAGAAGCGTACCATACCTCCAGAAAAAAATTAACCAAGTAGGGATTTTGTTTCAGCTTTGCACACACGATACAGAGAAACTGGATTTCTTCATTTTCCGTTGGTGTTGCAAGGACTTCACCGCACAGTCGAATTAATTTCTGTCAAAAAATTTAAAACAAATTTTGAAACTTAGGTTACTTTTTACAAGTATGTAAACAGTCGTCTGTTTGCCTTACGTGTATTTAAATTTTTCAAATAATGCAAATACCTTGCATTTTTCAGATAGAATGCTATTTAAAATCACCTATAACAAAACAGATTTACTAATTTTTCAATTGCCCTAAAAAAGCAATAAGGCGCACAAGAAACTCTCCTTGAGGTATCACAGAGGTAAGTTAAAGGAAAAATTGATGTATAAATTTTTAAGAGAAAAACATCAAGAGCATATATAATACCATGTTGGGTAGACAAAAAGCTCAAGGATTTGCTCATTTACATGTTATTTTGAGAATAACTTCATGATTTTTACTCTCAGAAAAATTGCATTAAATAATTTATATGCTCAAAGAAATCCAATCAAATTTAAGGGGAAGAAAATACCTGCACTGGCCTGTGTACATTAATGTGTGGGAGTAGTGGCTGCTGGATTCTTCCCAGAAGTTTAGTGTAGAATACCAACACCTGCTGTCTCATTCCTGGAGGACACTGGGTATGCGAAAAAAGAAACACGAACAAGAAGAAAACAGGCAATACAGACACACTCAAAAGCCTTTAAATTAAAGACGAGGAGAAATACACACGTGAATATATTTCACCCTCAAAAGCCAAGGCAATCGGCCAACTAATGAGTTCGTCAGAATCAAATTCTCAACCCAATATTAATGACTGGTATTCTGGAAATAAAATTACATCTGGGACTATAATATAGCTTATGGAACCACAGGCTAATGTAATTACAAGCAGCGTGATAGTAACACGTTGTTGAGATCAGAGCTGGTTCAGGCAACATCAACCTGTTTATGTTCTAAATACTACAGAAACATGAAACTACTATGGTTAAATCCACGGCTAAAACAAAAGCAGAATCTTGTTACTTACACTAATGATGGGTGATCAATAACCCTCCATCATAGAGATGCAGGAGTAAACAAAGCCTTCCAACACGTATATGTAAATAAAAGGAACCCTCTGGTATAAAATGCTGTGATTCATTCTAACAATGCTGCTTTACATTAGTTGCAAAATTATTTACATTATGATTATTATAAACAATGAAGAAGTGTTTATGACATGCCAGCTGTTTTCGATCTTTGCTGAAAAGGAGGTAAATGATTACTTACTCTGTGGGTTAAGAGAGCATGAACTAACAAGGTTCTATGTTCTATGATTGACCTGCTTGTGCTGCCTCGCAATGAAAACAGTCACAAAATGAATATATTTCCACAGCATCATCACAGACACGCTATCTGGAAACAGTATAAACTATAATCTTAAGCACAGTATTTTTTTAGATAGCAAATACCTTGCATTATTCAGATAAAACATTAATAATGTTTTAATCACCAAAATAAAAATTAATTTGCCAGTGGTACAATTATTAACATTCACTCAAAAACCAATTAATCTATATTCAAGTTAGTGTTGCAAAGCCCCTCTCTCCACATGACAGGAGAAAGAAGGGAGGAAGGAAATGAATTGCAGGGCACTGGAAGCAGATGTCCTGTCTCTAAAATATAAATTACATGAATTTAACTTAAAATGAATTGCGAGTATTACAGACTTGGTTAAAAGCAAACTGTCCTTAACACCACTGTTTGTGACTCTGTCTGGTGTTTCAAGATGTCTATTAATTTTTTCGTCAGTTGGATTTTCACACATATTACAGAAATTCACAGAACAAAACCCACAGGCTTTGAAACTTGCCTTCATACACAATTTGAAAGTTTCTTGGTAAAGAATATTATTTATACCATAACATCAGTTTTGCAAAGATTTCTCAAGATTCACGAGGCCTAAAAAGTTAACCTGGCTCCACTCATCAGTAGAGGTCATGTCAGAACAATCAGTGACATTCTCTTTCAGGACTGTGAAAAAGAATTCCTATTTTCATAACACAACGTTCACTGGGTTCCTTCTCGTGTCCTATGGCTCTGAGTGTGTGCACTTGACTTTATTTTCACAAATGTTTACACTATAATTCTAAGCAGCCTAAGTACCAGTTGTTGTCTAGAGCATTTGGAGGCTTTGCTAGCTCTACGGAGAGTCACATTCGTACAGCCTGCATGCTTTCTGTTTTTCACAATCCTGACTTGAATCCTGCCATGCTTAATAAGTACCTCTATAATTAAATTTAGTACTTGGCAGCTTCTCTGTCTCTAAGACATTAATGCATGTATTACATGCCCAAGAACACGATGTGGATTAGGAACTTACGTCAGCTTTCCCTAAGGTATATAACGTTTCCAAGATCTTGTGATGAAGCAAATATTCCATGCATGGCCCTGTCACTCCAAATTCTCGCTCACGTTCTTCTTGCAGCAAAATACCTAACATCTGGTCCAGATGAGAAGGGATATTTGTATCTGTCACTGGGGCTTTATCATCTAAATAATAATAAAAAAAAAATTCATCAAACATTCAAACATTTTAAAACTGAATATTTGTACCCAAATACTCTTGATATTTCCCCTATTCTAATTCAAACTGAGAAAAATCTCAACTACACACAAGTTTATATTCATGGTATAATTATCTTTGCCGGGATTCAGATGATTCTTTTTGCCATATTCTTATAAAAAAACTGAATCAATATTCTGAAATATATTCTATTAGCTAATGTCCATGCACGAGAATTCAAAATAAGAGCCATTTATATGGAAATGGGAACTTGACCAAGAAAAATACATGTAAATCAATATTTTGTATGCACTTGCAATTAAAGTTGTTTTTCTTTTCAATCAGCCAGTTCAGAAGATCTGAATTTTAAGTCTATATAGAAACAGGTTGGCCTTTAAACATTGAGCCGAATCAGGCAGGATGTGTAGAAAAGGCAGGTTCTGTTTTGGACTGCTACTGAATCACATGGTAACACTGGCAAGTCAGACATTTATAGCCCCTAATTAATCTCCATTTGTGAACGCATGAGGAGCTCAAAGAAAAATTTTGGACATCTCTCATTAACAGACAACTATTCACAAAGCTAAAGCTTCTTCTCAGGAGAGTTCTTATAAATCCTATTGATTTTTTAAGATAAAATTTCATCGATACTTTTTTCAGAGTTCACAGTTCAACTTGAAAATCACATGGTTTTATCAACCTGTCCTTATTGTTAAAATTACTCTTAATAAAGGGGTTAAATTACTCTTAATAAAATGTGAAGTTTTCTAGAATATTTAAATGCAAAATATACTTGGAGGGGGGCATGGGTGGCTCAGTTAGTTAAGCGTCCAACTCTTGATTTCAGCTCAGGTCATCTCACAGTTTGTGAGATCGGGTCCTGTGGAGCCTGCTTGGGATTCTCTCTGCCCCTCCTCTGCTTGCATGCGCGCTCTCTTTCTCTCTCTCAAAATAAATAAAAATAAATAAACATCAAAATATACTTGGAAATGCCAAGTTCTTACTTACATTTCTATTGTCATTTACTTACTACTGTCATAGTATGTACAACACAATCCTAGTATGCTATATATTTATTTGATGACATGTTGCTTTGTCTGTATGTGTGCACATTTTTGTAAACACACAGTTTAAACCATAACACTAAGCCCTACAGAGAAAACAATGGAAAGACAAGAGTCACCCTTGTTTCCAAGGAGGACATATGTACCAAGTTTGATATAATATCTGGCAGGTATTAAAAGCATGGCACCTGGAGGGATACCTGGGTGGCTCAGTCAGTTCAGTGTCCAACCTCGGCTCAGGTCATGATCTCCCGGTTTGTGAGTTCAAGGCCTGTGTTGGGCTCTGGGCTGATAGCTCAGAGCCTGGAGCCTGCTTCAGATTCTGTGTCTCATTGTCTCTGCCCCTCCCCTACTTGTGCTCTGTCTCTCTCTCTCTCTCTCTCTCAAAAATTAAATGTAAAAAAAAAAAATGTAAACAAAACAAACAAAAAAAGCATGGGGCCTGGAATTAGACAACTTGCATTCAAATCTTGGCTCAGTCACTTGTAGTTGGATGACCTTGGCAAACTATTCCAGCCTCAGTCACCAACACCTGTAAAATGGGGCTAATCAACACCAGTGTTTTTGAATGATTTCAATGAAATGACGTGTGTAAAGTTCCATGCCTTAGCACATAGTAAGAATTCAAGAAATGTGAACTTACGATGTCTCATTTTGTATTCTTCTAAAATGAGTAGTCTGGCGCTAATAGAAGAGAAGTAATTTTATTTGAAATCTATTTTTTTTTAATGATTTTTCTCCTTTAATTGCTAACTGGATATAAACATTCCAGGGAAGAATGAATGTTCAAGCATGGTCTGTTTACAGTCATTAACGGAGAAAAATGACCAGAAAGACTGTTTAAATTGAGAAGCAAATAAATTGTAAATTTGACTTGACAAATTAAAATCTTTGCTCCCTAGAAGGCAACATGTAGTTTCTGCCGTCTACCCTCATCCCTCCGAAGCTGTATGTAGGTCTCCGTGTGCCGCATTTGCTATTCCTTCTACCTGAAATGCGTTTGTCCTCCTTATCTATCTTGGAAACTCCAACTCATCCTTTAAAATCCAGGTTAGAGGGGCGCCTGGCTGGCTCAGTCAGCCGAGCGTCTGACTCTTGATTTCAGCTCAGGTCATGATCCCAGGATCGTGGGATGGAGCTCCACCCTGGGCTCTGCACTGATGGTGCAGAGCCTGTTTGAGATCCTCTCCCTCTCAAAATAAATAAATAAAAATTAAAAAATAAAATCCAGGTTCTAGATTCTGCCGCTTCCCATTTCTCCCTTCTTTGTTTTCTCTCTGTGCCTGATGCAGACGCACTTGTCCCATACTTTATTATAAAGTACATACTTATTTCTGCTCCTGCAGTGTAAAAAAATCATTTAAAGCAAGAACTTAAGGGGCGCCTGGGTGGCTCAGTCGGTTAAGCGGCTGACTTCGGCTCAGGTCATGATCTCGCGGTCTGTGAGTTCGAGCCCCGCGTCGGGCTCTGTGCTGCCAGCTCAGAGCCTGGAGCCTGTTTCAGATTCTGTATCTCCCTCTCTCTGACCCTCCCCTGTTCATGCTCTGTCTCTCCCTGTCTCAAAAATAAATTAAAAAAAACATTAAAAAAATAAATAAATAAAGCAAGAACTTAAGGCCCTTCCTTTAAAGTATTTCCCTTAAAGCTATGGAGGGGTGAAAACTTGGGCAAGAATAGTCATTTGAAAAGGCAGCTCCTCTCAAAAAAACTTTCCTATAGGTCTGCTGTCTAAATATCCAAATTAAGGTAGAGATCCCATTTTACATGGAAAGGTATACATATTTTTTGTCTAATTTTTACTTATTACACACATGTAAAGGATTTTTTCTTTTAAAGAAGAATTACCTGTGACCCCATTGGCTTGCCTGAATACTCTATCGCAGGAGTTGCCAGACTTTGGCCTATGGGACAAATCCAGTCTTGCCATGTGTTTAAGGTGTATGGGAACAAAGGAAAGCTATTCTTTTATATATTGTTGATGGCTGCCTTTGCATCACAACAACAGAACTGAGTCGTTGCAACAGAGGCCATAGGGCCCACAAAGCCTAAAATATTTACCATCTGGCCCTTTACCGAAAAAATTTGTCCACCTTTGACCTAATTTATTTCATATTCCCCTTAATCTCCATCCTTCCTATTCACTGAGAAAGACAGAAGCAACCAGAAAATAACTTTTGAAGACTTCCGTACATCAACCACATCCACCCTCTTTCTGAATCTATACCTATATGTTCTGCTTTCTACCTTATTTAATGGATGGCCTGTCCACATGCCTATTAAGGCTAAGCCTGCACGGGTGCCCTAGACCCATCCCCTTGCCTAGTTAAGGGTATTGCTCAGAAATGATCGCATCTAACTCTTGTTGTCCACCTTTCCCTCCCTGCTACATCATTCCAACAATGTATAAATTGCACTATCTTCCATCTTTAAAAACATATTTTAAGCCCTCTCTTGAAGGGCATCTGGCTGGCTCTGTTGGAAGAGCATGTGACTCTTGATCTCTGGATTGTGGGTTCAAGCCCCACATTGGATGTAGAGATTACATACATACACACATACATAAATCCGTCTCTTGATATCACATCTCCCTCCGGCTACTGCTCTGCTTCTCAGCCCCCCTTTCCACTGACGTAACAGAGCAGTCCACACACATTGTCTACACAGGTTCTCTGCCCATTTTCTTTTAAACCTACTGCAATCAGGTCTTCTCTCTCCTCCTTGCTATCAAAATGCCTCTTATCAAGTCCACTAATGAGCTCCTCGTGGCTGAGTCCAAAGATCCTTTCTTAGACTTCATTACCCTGACATCACCGTCAATTGACACAATTAATCTCTCTCTTCTAAACCCCAGGACACCATTCTACCTTGGGTGTCTTCTACCCCATGGGCAAACGCAGTACCTTTTGCTATTATTCTCACCATCCTCACCTCTGAACATTGAGCCCCAGGGCTCCATTTCTGAACCCTTTCTCTCTTCCATCTATCCTTACTCCCTACAACATCTCATCCAATCCCAAGGCTTTAAACCCTACTTAAAGGTGATGATTTCAGTTTCACATCTCTGGTTTAGACCCCCACCTTAAATTCCAAATTCCTACTTCCAACTGTCTACCTGACACATCCAATTGAATCTGTAATTGGCATCTCAAATTTAACACGTCCAAAATATTCTTACAAACCTGCTCCTCCTACAGTCGGCCTGTTCTGCTAAGTGGTCTATTTTCCAACTGCCCGAGTCCAAAAATTTGGAGTTTCCTTCACTCAGTCTCTCATACCCAACATTCAATCCATCAACAAAGCTTTCTGCAAAATAGATCCAGAATACCATCACTTCTTACCAGCTCCGCCCTGGCTTCAGCCACCACCATTGCTTACAGCATTCCAAAAGTCCCCTGATGGTTCTACAGTTTCACCTCTGCATCCTTTCGATCTCATTTTTTTCACAGAAGCCAAAGTTGTCCCTTTACGATAGATTATGGTACACCGCCACTCAAAACCCTCTAACCCAAGCTTCCCACCTTGGAGTAAAAGCTAAAGCCCTTATAACAGCTTACAAGGCCCTTCGCAACGGCACCCGGCTCCTGTCTGATGTCACCCCCTCACACTTTTTTCCTTGTTCACGTTGCTCTAGCCACACTGGCTTCCTTGAGGTTCCTAGACTATGCCAAGCATGCTGCATGCTCCAGCCTCAGGGTTTTTGCATTAGGTCCTCCTCTTGAAACCAACCCCCCAGATTTGCTCTCTCTCTCCTTCCGATTCCAACTGAGAGGTCGGCTTGGGCAATGAGGCTTTCTCTAACCTACAATAGCCAGCTGTACCCTTTCCTCCCATGTATACATTTCTATCCTCTCAGCCTGCTTCATTTTCCCCTTAGTACCTACCATCTGA